AACTTTGGTGATTTTTTCCATATCTATTTAGTTTTCTCTAAATAAAAACATAAGATAAATGTTATAAAATTTTTGATGTGTTTTTATTCATTTAAAACTATATTTCGTTACGGTATTATACTTTATTTTCTTTTTGACGTATATGGCTTGATGTAAATCACTATAACTTATGGTTATATGTTATTTTAATTTATTTGGATTCATCTACAACTTTTTTTATGTGTATTTTTAATGTTTGAATTTGTAAACATCAAATTTATGATTTATATATGTATGTATGTATAGGAAAATAGGAAAAAACATGAAAACTATAGAAACCGGTTGACCCGGCGGTCGAACCGGTTAAACCGGGAACCGGTCACCATACCAGTTCAATTAAAAAACCGGTTTTTAAAACATTGCTCTCCGTCAAGCCGGCGCAGGCTCCCGCACCAGCTACATTGAGGATCACTGGCGGGAGTCAGGGCAGGGCGGAGCCCCAGAAGGCTCGAGGTCGTGCTTTTCAGCTCACTACCGAGGAGGCTAGAGCAACACCAGATGTTGTGACTGGTATGTTTTCTATCTCTTATCTTATTGATTATGATTTTTTTATGCTCATATGTTTGTACCTCTGTTAGGACGTTCTTAGTGAACTCCTTGTCTGGTTTTGTATTGTTTAACTCAGGTGCGAGTCGGTCTTTTGTATCTCAGACCTTTAGTAGGGAGTTTGCTTTGCCCATAGGAGAGTCGGAGTGTCTGTTGCGAGTTTCTATCGCCAACGAACACGAGATTTCTACTACTTCGGTTTATATGGGTTGCGTTCTGGAGATCTTCGGGGTATCCTTTCCGATTGAGTTGATCCCTATTCCTATGGGGGATGTTTGCGTGATTGTAGGTATAGACTGGATGAGTCGTTTTGGTGCTACGATCGACTGTGAGGGTCAGCGTGTGGTGGTTCGAACCCAAAGTGCGGGAGAGCTGGTGATTTATGGAGAGCGCACCAGGATGGGTTCAGGATTTTGCTCGACAGCCAGGGCTCGGCATTATATTCAGCACGAGCGTGCAGGTTATTTGCCGTATGTGGTGGATATGCAAGGTAAGGATCAAGTTTCAGTTTCAGATGTTCCGGTCGTCAGAGAGCTCGATGATGTGCTCCCAGAGGAGTTACCCGGTGTGCCTCCTGAGAGGCAGGTCGAGTTCAGGATCGACCTTGTGTCAGGTGCGACTCCTATTGCCAAGGCGCCGTACTGATTGGCACCGCCTGAGATGCAGAAGCTATCATCTCAGCTGCAGGAGCTGCTAGGCAAGCAGTTCATCCATCCGAGCAGTTCTCCGTGGGGCGCCGATTCTTTTTGTCAAAAATAAGGATGGTTCGCATTGGATGTGCATCGATTATAGGGAGCTGAACAACTTAACGGTGAAGAACCGTTATCCCCATCTACGGATTGATGATCTCTTTGATCAGTTGCAGGGAGTGTCTTGGTTCTCCAAGATTAACCTAAGGTCTGGGTACCATCAGGTCAGGGTGAGGGAGGAGGACGTAGAGAAAACCGCGTTCCGGACTCGTTATGGGCATTACGAGTTCGTGATGATGCCATTCGGGCTCACCAATACGCCTGCGATATTTATGGATTTGATGAATCGGGTGTGCAGGCGGATGCTCGATCACTCAGTTATCATGTTCATTTATGATATATTTTATTCCAAGACCAGATAGCAGCATGAAGAGCACCTTTGCTAGCTTCTGGGGGTTTTGAGGCGAGAACGGCTTTATTTTAAGTTCTCAAAGTGTGAGTTTTGGTTGCGATAGGTTCAGTTCCTTGGACACATCGTTAACCAGGATGGGATTTTGGTCGATCCGGCCAAAATCGAGGTGGTGATGCAGTGGGAGGTTCCGAAGTCTCCCTCGGATATCAGGAGTTTTCTGAGTTTGACAGGGTACTACCGAAGATTCATTCAGGATTTCTCCAAGATTGCAGTACCCCTCACTCGTCTGACGAGGAATGGGGTGGATTTCCGGTGGGGCCCTGAGTAGCAGTCAACATTTGAGACCCTTCGACAGAGAATTGGAAGATTGAGAGGATCAGGGGTGAGATCACCAGATTTTTGCCTGATAGTCATAGTTTGTTGACCTGTTGCAGTCGAGTGTGGGTTCCTGTGACTGGTGGGGTCAGACAGATTGTGTTGGAAGAGGCTCATAAGTCTCGCTTTTCTATCTATCCGGGGGCCACCAAGATGTATCGGGATCTGAGGTTGAGTTATTGGTGGCCGTGCATGAAGAGGGAGATCGCCTGGTACATCGAGAGGTGCTTGACCTGCAGGATGGTCAAGGCCGAGCATCAGAGGCCGCATGGCAAGCTGCAACCTCTGGAGGTTCCCATGTGGAAATGGGAGCAGATTTCGATGGATTTCATCACCAAGTTACTGAAGACGGCGAAGGGTTTTGATGCTATTTGGGTCATCGTGGATCGATTGACTAAGAGTGCCCACTTTTTGGCAATTCGGGAGAGCTCGTTGGCAGAGAAGTTGGCCGATGTGTATATTCGCGAGATCGTTGCTCGCCATGGGGTTCCGGTCTCTATTGTTTCAGACCGTGATGTTCGGTTCACCTCCCATTTCTGGAAGAAGTTCCATGAAGAACTGGGCACGAGGCTGCATTTCAGCACAACTTATCATCCACAGACCGACAGCCAGAGCGAGCGGACCATTCAGACTCTCGAGGATATGTTACGAGCATGCGTTATTGATTTTGGTGGGAGCTGGGACTCCTACAACATCAGTTTTCACTCCAGTATTGGTGCTCCGCCTTTTGAGCTATTGTATGGACAGAGGTGTCGTACCCCAGTCTGTTAGGACGAGGTTGGTCACAGGGTCATGGGTCGGACCGAGGTGGTTCTGCAGACTACAGAGATGATTCAGCAGATTAGGCAGTGATTGCAGACTGCTTAGAGTCGGCAGAAAAGCTATGCCGACCGACGTTGGTTTGAATTGGAGTTTCAGGTCGGCGACATGGTGTTGCTGAAGGTCTGAGTTGGGGTTCTCACTTGAACGGTTTCAAGCTTAATAAAAATGTTTAGTCCAATTTGTGAGGTTTTACTTAAAATTATTGGGGATGACACTGGTTCGATAAATGGAGATGCATATTGAGCATATGAGACTATTACTACATTTGAATTCATTTTTGTTCTACATCTTAAGAAAGAAATAATGGAGATCACATATTTACTTTGCCAAGCTTTACAAAGACAGTCTCAAGATATACTGGATGCATTGAGGCTAGTTGCATCCACCAAATTGCTATTACAAAAAATGAAAGATGAAAGATGGGATAGTTTTCTCGCTCATGTTAAGTCATTTTGTCTTGAACGCAACATTGATATCCCTGATTTGTCTTCTTCTTACTTTAGTAGAGGGGCTCGAGCGCGTAATGAGCATAGCGATCATACACTTGAACATCATTATCGAGTATATATTTTCATCGAAGCAATTAACAGTCAGTTAATGGAATTAGATCATCGGTTCAATGATAGCTCGATGGAGTTACTCCATCTTTCAACAACTTTAGATCCTAAAAATTCTAATGAGCCTTTTCGAAGTGGTGATGTATGTCAATTAGTAGAAATTTTTTATCTTGAAGATTTAAATGAAACCGAGAAAAATCTTTTGAAGATGCAACTCCAACATTACGAGGTGGACATCGTTCAACGTGAAGATTATAAACAATTGATATCTATTTCAGAATTGTGTCAATGGTTGATAAAGACTAGAAGAGCAACCAATTTTTATCTTATTTATCGAGTAGTTAGTCTTATACTCACTCTTTCGCTTTTCACTGCTACAACAGAGAGATCATTTTTAGCAATGAGTCTTGTTAAAATAAGACTACAAAATAAAATGGAAGATGAATTTTTGAACGACTCGTTGGTTTTGTACTTCGAAATGGAGCTTGCAGAAAAGATTACTTTAGGGACGATTGTGCAAGACTTTAAAGACGTAAAAGATCGACGAATTCCACTTTAATGAGCGATGTTGGAATATTTTATATTAATTTTTTTGTTTGATTTTATTATATTTAATGACGTTGAATCGAATAAACTATTTTAGTGCTTCTTTTAAAATTTTAGTTTCCTCCCCCCTCCCTACAACTTTTCGTGTTTTGCCCCTGACCACATCCAAGCGAATAGTCAACCTTAATTGAACGCCATGTTCGAAGATGAACCGGTGAAGGCGTCCAAAAGGTTGTTCCCAAATCGAACTGAATTTCACGAGCCACATGGCCTAAAAACGCTTTTTTACAACAAATCAACATAAATTTTATTAGGTTATCCGTTATACCCACTACTAACCACTATAATGGTGGGTGTCACATCATCACCACATTTAACCACTAAACCTATGAGATACCCACCACTATATCCCTCTTATTTTTTTATTTTCAAATTAAAAAATACATATATATTATTGTAGAGAGAGGTAGAAAGAGTTAGAGAGAGAAAAATAATTTAATTGGATTTGGTGTTCCGTAGTATACGTAACAATTCACCACTACCCACCACTAAGCATCGGGAAGATGTTCGTGGTTAGTGGTCGTTGTCGCATCAACCATGAAACCCTTTGTAAAGGGTATACCTAAGGTCTTAGATTATATAGGATATAAAATCGTTGTAACAAAATTTATTTAGACCTTTTTTTTAAACGGCACCTTGTATATACCAAAAACTTGTGCGACGCATTCATTTCACAACTAGGCTTTCATGTGAAAATGGAAGTTAAACCATGCAAAAATAGCCCTCAACATATTAAAAAGGAACTGTGGATCCTACAAGAATAATAAGACTCTCTTGAGTCTTGCCCTTGGCGAGAAGGAGGAGCCTTCATTCATATTACTTTTCTATATTACGTCCCATCATCTATATCTCTCTCTCTCTCTCTCTCTCTCTCTCTCTCTCCACCACCCTTCTTCCACAATCAATCAATCAATCAATCCAACCCAAAAACAGAAATTTTGAATCTTCCCAACTATGGATTTGGCATCAGGATCCGGTTCACACGACCCTGGAGAACCTCCAGGTCCATCGCAGCCTGGTGGTGCAGTTGAGTCAACTACCGGAAGATCAAGGTTACAAGCCACGGCAACACAATCACTCAGCAGATACGAGTCGCAGAAGCGCCGTGACTGGAACACGTTCTTGCAGTATTTAAAGAACCACAAACCACCGTTGACGCTAGCGAGGTGCAGCGGCGCCCACGTGATCGAGTTCCTCAAGTACCTCGACCAGTTCGGAAAAACGAAGGTTCACGTGACTGGATGTCCTTACTTTGGCTACCCAAACCCACCGGCGCCGTGTGCTTGTCCACTGAAACAAGCTTGGGGGAGCCTCGACGCGCTCATCGGCCGACTCAGGGCGGCGTACGAGGAGAACGGCGGTCAACCAGAGTCAAACCCGTTTGGTGCTAGAGCAGTGAGGATATATTTGAGGGAGGTGAAAGATAGTCAAGCCAAGGCTAGAGGTATTCCATATGAGAAGAAGAAGAGAAAAAGAGCTGGTGGCAGTACGCCGAGCACCACCGCAAAGGCAGCAAATACGTCGATGGATGATGGTGCAGGTGGTGGTGGTGGGGATGGTGGCATTATTTCTAGTAGTGATTCTGCTCCTGTCACTTCTACATTATAGTATTATTAAAAAGTAAGTTTTTATATTATTGAGAAATTATTTGTAAACAATTTTAGAATTATTACTTCAAATTAATATTAATTTATAAGAACCAAAACATTACCATTATTAAATATATATGGTTTAATTCCTCATTTTCCCTTATAAAACATAATCATTGTTAATTATTAATTGATGTTTTGGAATTAAGACAATTGTAGTTTATTACTTTTACTCGTCTTTTTAACATTATGTTTGGGCTTTTTTAACTCTTGTTTTTCAAGAAGCATAAAATATAACTTTTTTTTTTCAAATCTGAAACCTTTGAAAAATGTTTATTTAACTTTACTTCGTGATATCAACTTCTTTGGTTTTTTACTCCACTAGATTTATTCAAGGTACCTCCTTCATGTAGTTAGCCTTCCTCTTCCAGAATCGAACTTTGAGTTGTTCGTTGCTACAAAATGTTAATGTTTGGGGGTTTCACTAAATCAAAAAATGGCTGAATATGTGATGATTGTCTGGTTGGATTATATGATGTAAAGATAAGGTCCAAGAGTAAATAACTTGTCCAATAAGATTAAAGACCATTTTACCTATAAATTTCAACAAACAGTTTTCATAATAATAAACAATCTTAACATTATTCATGGAAAATAAAATGAAAAGTTGGTATATATATATATATATATATATATATATATATATATATATATATATATATTAAGTTGTATTTTTTGGTATATATAAAGTTATTGTGTCTAGCTAGTAAGACATAAAGAAACAATCATATAAATACTGAGATCAAGTGACTAATTTGTTAGACTCGTTAATTTTTAAATAAAAAAGTAACAACCCTTTAGTTTGGCTCACGAAGATGGTTATTTAGTTTTTTCTGTTAATGAGTATTTTTTTATACAATTTCATTTTATTTTTCTTTTGTGCGATGCTTCTATTTTTTAGCATTCACATATTTGTTTTTAACAAAACATTATCTCAATACGGTCAACATGGTCGACCATTTTTTAATAGATAGTACAATAGATAGAACAAACAAAAAGAGTGAAGTAATTGGTACACTTGTCTAGAAATAACTTTCGTGATGTAATAACAAAAATCTTTTACTAGCATTATCGATGGGTCCCCGATTTTATTGTGGGTATGAGATTCAACGAAAAATCTTAATGTAATTTTAAGGGAATTTAAAAATGGACAAAACTTTATCTCTGATTAAATAAATAATTTTTCATCGGCATCAAACTATATATCAACACAATAAACTTCTATAATAAGCTCATTGTTGTATTAATTAGAATTAAATAAACATGGTAAACACAAAATTATTCCAAGGATTTGTTTTTACTTGGGCAAATATCTAGTTTGGGGAGGAACAATCATCTTCACAATTGATATTGTATTCTTGTAGGATACATGTAATATCAATGTGATTGAGATTGGTTGTCATTTTAAGCAATATATTTTACATACATATCAACATACTTTAATTTCATAAATTGTAGGTGATGTATATTTTATTAATAATATGCAAAATAGCAATATACTTTATAGTTTACATGTTAGTCCTTTTATTTAAGAAGCCACCCCAAAATTGAATTGTGTGGAGTCGAACTTGAATCGACTTTATTATGGACTGTTTTATACCAAGTGATCACCATTATGTCATCTTAATTTTGTCTTACGTGTTTACAATTTTAAAATTTTAGTTATTGTATTCTATCATAAGTTGTAGTGATCACACCGAACTAGTCATATAAATACCCCAATTGCTTTTTTTATGTTCAAAAAAATGCTAAAAAGATATATAGCACAACACATTTTAGAACAATTTACCTTTAAAACAATACATTTTATACATGATAGCATTTTATGAATAAACTTTCAAAACCATTTCAAATATTTTCTGAAAAAAAAAATCTAACTAAACAATTAAGGTTCAATTATTCATTGAACAATAAGAACGTGAAAAACATATTCTTTGACACAGCTTTGAAGGTTTTTGTGTGGAAAACATTTTCTTTGCCACCGATTTTGACCCTACATTTCGGAAATAATTATTACAACATATTAATGAAACAATTAAATATAATAAATAGATTTATGAATATCACATATTTATCTTAAAATCCGTTATCAACTTGACTCGTTGTCTCGTTCTCTAAAATACCTGTTGATAAAAAGTAGTGCTGGAAGGGATAAAAATATATATAGATGGCATACATGTTTCATATAATTTTGGTATATAGTTCATACTTTTAAATCAAACAATTACGTATTTTATCTTTAAAGTCACTGTGGGGAAGTACATAAATATTAACCACTTTTGGTATAATTTTTAGTTTTAGACATTTTAATTTGATAACACACTTTAATTTTTTTAGGCAATCAATTACCAAATATAGCAACATGCAACCTATTTTAAGCAGATCGCCTAAAACAGAAGCAAGTAGTTGTGCGTGGAAATAAATTGTTAAACTAGAACTGAACAAAAATAAGTTATAACTTTTAGTTTTTTTGATAATTATTCAAGTGTTGGAATATATATATATATATTATATATAGATATATATATATATATATATATATATATATATATATATATATATATATATAATATTCTATTAATGTACGTTGTTTACTTCGTTGTATTTTTTTTACATGTCTAATTATTAATCAACGATTTCTCTTTCTGTTTAGGTAATTTAGTTGAAACAAATTCATTCTCTAAAGTAATATTATTAACATTTTGTTTAAATATGAAATACTAAATAATTTTAAATGTATTAAAAAATTAACAAAATACAATAATAGTAAACAGTTTATCAAATATATGAGATAAAAAATTAAAACAAAATTTACAAAATTTAAATTGTATATTTTAATATTTTGCATAAAACCGAATGGCTGAGTAATTTGTTCAAAAATTAAACATTCTTTTACCAAATAATTTAAATATAAAATTTATTTCAAATTACATCGATTATCTATATATAAAAATAGTTATTTACTAAGATGATTACAGGAGCTGATCTAGCCTGTTGATTGCTCTTTATAGTGAATTATGCGGGTTCGAACCCCCTTTAAAGCCTATTATTTTTATTACCGGACATTTGAAAAAATGCTAATTAAACAGTTGCAAAAAATGATTCAAACTCACACAATCTATCATAGAAACATAAAACATTAACCGGAGGTTAGCATCAATTTGTTACTAAATTCTCATGAACATTGTTTTATAGTGGAGGTTATTTGTTCCAACAGCTCACGAATTTTAGCCAAAAACTAGCAAATACATCCAAATTTGAGAAACAATCACGAGCATAATATTTTTTTTGCAAGTAAAACCGAAAAAAACACGAGTAAACTTAAACACTGGAAACTTTTAGCCCTATTAAGATAAATATGCTAGAAAACAAAAATAAAAGAAGAAATGGTTAAACTAGGTTATCTGTTGAGTAAATTACACGAATGGTCCTTATGGTTTGAGGTAATTTGCGTGTTTGGCCCCTAACTTATTTTTTTAACTCGAAAGGTCCCTACTGTTTGTTTTTGTTACGCACTTGGTCCCTACTGTTTGTTTTTGTTACGCGCTTGGACTCTGTCTTACATAAAAAGACTATTATTTAAATAAGAAAAAATGATGTGGTAGGTAAGGTGAGGTGAGGGGGTGGGATGAGGGTGTGTTTATTTAAATAAATTAAAAAATCAATGGAAAATTAGTCTTTTTAGGTAAGACAGGGACCAAGCGCGTAACAAAAACAAACATTAAGGACCTTTCGAGTTAAAAAAATAAGTTAGGGACCAAATGCGCAAATTATCCTAAACTATAGGGACCATTTGTGTAATTTACTCTTATCTGCTTAAATCCCAAACAAAGAGAGTAATTACTGTTTCGGACTTTTGGTTCCTGTTCTAAATTTGGAAATTTGACACCAATGATCCTCAAGGTTGGAAAATAGATCAGCATTTGTCCATCATCATGTTACTATCCATAAACTTTCATTAAATGCATGTAAAATGGCAATTATACCCATTTTTGTCTTTTTTGATTTTTGATATTACTATAAACCTCTTGAGCAATTGTGTAAAAATATTGAATTTATGCCCTACTAAAACCATCACCTCCGCATCGACTTCATTACTCTATGTCTCTTCCTTTTCTATGGACCAATTTAAGACCTTCAACGTCGACACCAGAACTATGGCCGACCACACCCTCCATCATGGATCTCCTCTCATCCATGTCTACCTCCGACCTCTCTTTCATCCACCAAAACCATTAGCGGCAATGGCAGAGTTGGCTTCCACCATCGTCATCTCTGTGCCATCAAAACCTCCACGCTCATTGTCACCACACATGTTCACCATCATCTTTACGCCACAATCTAGCTCCTTCTATCCTCGCCTTCTATATATTGTCAGTTGTCACAAACTCACATAAATCATCACTTCCCTTGTTCACCATCATCTTCAAGCCGCCTTCAAGTTCTTACCATATGGATTTGATTTGATTTCAGGTAATTTTTGGCAATTTAATCATGTTTAGGAATTTAATTTCATCAAGTTTAGGTAATTCCATCATGTTTGCTTTTGAATCGGGTTTGACTAGGTTTGGTTTTGAATTAGCGATTCATTTTTTGGCAATTTAACAATGGTTCCATGATTATGCAAATTAGATATTGGGTTTGATTAGGTGTGGTTTTAAATAGATTAATTTTGATTCTAGTTTGGTTTTGATTTTGATTGAAGGTTTATGATTGATTTTGAATAGTGGTTTATGGTATATAGTAGTGGTGATGGTGGTGGTTTATTGTGATGGTGATGGTGGTGGTTTATTGTGATGGTGATGGTGGTATACACTATATAGTGGTCGTGGTGGTACAAAATGAAAATTATGATGGTGGTATAATAATTCCAAAAACAAGAAAAGACAACGTAAAAATGACAAAAACATGGACATTTTAGTGACTTATAAGTACTTAACATAATATTAATACGGTTCC